ATTTTGCTCCAAAAGATGTAACACATGCTAATGGTAAATTGAATGATATTCTGTCTCTCTGTGTTTGTTTGTTTAGCTTAGGGAAGAGATGTTTCAGGGAGGATTTAATCCTGGTCTCCTAACACGTAAAAGATAGTTCCAGAGAAGACAGGGGGACTCCCTTCACAAGGATGCATGGTGACAAGACAAGAAGTGACAGAAATTACTTGCTTCATGGGAAATTCTGTCCGGTTATAAAAAAAATTTTCACTGATTGAGAAACAGCTGTGAGGTTACCCAAAGAAATGGTGGAATCTACTCAATACTCAAGACTCAGTTAGACAGGCTATTCAACAACCTCATCTAAGGCCTTGATTTCAACACCAAGTGATCTCCAGAGGTATCTGCCAGCCTAGACTTTTCTATCATTCTGTATGTGCAAACACTTAAAAAAAACCCCAGAAACACCACAAGAAAAAAAAAACAAACCACTAATGGGTGAGAATGAAAAAAGGTTCATAATTCTGTTCGTACAAATAATGGAAAGTATATTATTTGTCCCTTCACACAGCCCTTAAATTTTAAGGAAACTTTTCCATTAACTTATGAAAAAGACAAGCTATTTGAAAAGGAAAATAACATTGGTGTTTTATTACAATGGAAAACTGCACGATTTAAGCCCCATTTATTTTACTAATGATACCTTATGTATGAAAGGCCTTATACAAGTTAAGAGTCTTCAGCTTCCTGTCTGAATGCTAAATTAAGGCTTCTGTACCCCTGTTCATATTCTCAGATTGAAAACATTTGTGCCTGCAAAGAGTCCTAGTGTGTTTTTTGGTTTCTTTTCCCATAAATACATAGTTTTGGGGCTTTCAACTTGTCAAGCTCATTTCCTGATCAGTGGTGATGAGCTAAATCAAGGGTTCAGCTTTCAGTCTTGCTTACAGAACACATCCATCCATCCATCCATTCATCCATCCCTCTCTTCCTGGCAGGTTAAGAACAGTTTATCCACCAATGATAAAAATGGCAGCACAGCTATACAAGCCTACATTTGAACTCAGTTTCAGTGATAAAACCACTTACCCTTCAACACCAGCTCATCAGCGTTACTTATGTCTACACAGTTGAATATTGGCAGTAAATGTAACTTCCTTTTGAAAGGTAAGCATGGAAAGGGTCTGGTAGTGTTGTATACTCTGAATCAATAATCTGGAGGATTCTTACACAGATTCTTGAATAGAAATACAGTGTCAGTTTTGTTACTGTGCTACAAGTCTTTCATTGGTACATTGGTTTTTATTGCAACAAACTAACAGATTGGTATTACAAGCATACCTATAGAGCATGGTGCCTTATATTCCTCTTATTAGGAGTTTTGGCATAGTATTTCCACTCAGAGAGAGGTTGGATTACAGCCTATCTAGGCAGAGATATTTTTATCAGAAGCCATGTAACATTTGGACAAGTGATTATTCAATTACCCGACTGATCAGCAGCTCCCTCAGTCCGAAGGCTTCTCTTCCTTGGAGTCACTGGCAACCATGACGTTCCTTTCTTCCAGGTTTACTCATATTCCTGTTCAGATAAATCCAAAGATCTTGTTAGTCTATTTTTACTTACAACCTCTTACTGCACAGTGCATGCCCTGATCCCTCCTAGCTACAAAAATACTGAACTTGTTTATCGTTCTGAAAGATTCATGATAAAGCATAAATTGGAGCTATGTAATCACTGCATGTAAAAAAAAGAGCTTAATTACAAATTAAGGAGACCAACACTTCTATCTCTGTCCCATTTTACATGTCTTCAAATTGTCTGTAAGCTGTTTCACATTGAACTTTCACCATTCAATGCATACATATGGCAGAAGGATCAGCACCTGAGCCCATATTTCCATATACAGCCTCCCTTGTCATGATGGCAACTCAGCCTGCACTTTCAGACCTTGCCCTGAAAGCTCCTCATGTATAAAAGGGAATTATAACTCCTGGAAAAAAAGGCTTATCTTAAATACACAAGCAAATTGTGTGCACTGCATGACAGCTGGAAGTGGGAAGTGGGAGAGATACATCTGTTCACTTAAGAATTCTGTCTGCTTTCAAAGGTACTGTCTAGGGCACAGCAAGACAAGCAGGAAGAACTGGCATGGAACACTTGTCCTGTGTTTGCCCACTATGAATTCTGTTGTCAGTGACTTTGCTTTCAAATAGCTTTTCTTTCTCAAGGTAGGCTTAGCAAGGTAGAAGGAGGTACTTGGACATGGCCCCTTTTCCTTCCCACCATCATCCCTCATGCAAATGAGGGAAGGGAGAGGCAGGAAAAAAGGTCAACACCTCTTCCAGATACTTGGCATTTCATTAAAGGAAAAATAAAATTCCCTCAAAGCACATCAGTCCAACACAAGCCTGAAAAGCAGAACGTGGATAATTTGTTTCCAGGAAAAGTCTACAGTTGTCTGGCAGTGCATTGATATTGCTACAAAAATATTTATTCTTAGCTTCTAGCTAAGGTAAAATATGGATGACAACTATCCACCAATTAAAAACACAAGTAAGAGACATTGAGGGGGAAGAAGGGGGACTATTTTAATGCTAAATGTTTTCTTATAGAGACAATATTATGCACTTATTAGTAAGCAGTGCCTTGATGCAGTGTGTGATGAAGGAGAATGATCAATTAACCTCTTTATAGTACCTTAAGTTATAAACAACAATACCTTTGTTTTAAAAATCAAGTGTTCTTTTTTCATATTCCACTGGCAAACTGAGCTCTATGTGAGGTGAATGTTTTAAATGAGTTCAGCTCTAATGCTTCAGCTCAGTGGAAGTCAGGCTGCTCATGCTCACAGTGTTTGGCTCAGCCTGAGGGATCACTTTCTTTCCTCAAATCCCTGGGAATTGCAAGGCAAGGCTGCCTCCTCCACCGATACTCCCAAGCTTCTTGCCTCTGCTTCTTCAGCCCCAGAGCAATGAGCATCTCCCAAGGGCCAATCTGGACTCTCATTCCAGTCTAACCACAGGGCAATTACCAGAAAATAGGTGTTGTACAAAGGGAGAAGCAGCCACTAGCTAAAGTGCCGGTCCCTCCTATCCAGAAACTTGGAATACATGAGCACATAGAAACCTAAATTTTAGTGAACAGTGGAGACTGTTTATGGCACTGGGTATTCTTTTGTATAATTCTTAAGTGATTTGTGAACACAAAATGTGTTTGATGTTCAGTAGTTGTAACAGAACTAAAGCTAATATCAGAGTGAAAAAGACACCCTGAGGGGATTATCATGCCACCAAGTGCGATTCACCCTGGCTGAATTGCTTCTAGTGTTTGGTGGAGTTGGGGGTGCTAAGACTGACAAAGCAATGCTTTCAGTGTTCCTATAATTTTGCTTCTTAGCAAGACATGAAATTCCCAACAGCTGGACATGAGCATTAATGCTGCACTTCAGAAGGGGTAAGGGTGAAGCGAAGGAAGGTCATACTGCTAGTTTTTGAGTAGTAACCAACACAGTGTTTTTGCTCAGCATAATACTTGTTATTTGTGTGATGACTTTAGGAATAGGGATGGTGTTGCTGGAATTCACTACAGTTCTTACAGGACAGGTAATCTCTGGGACCCGGAAACATTCCTAATACACTTGCCCATACAGTTTGAACCCAAAGGGTCATGGTCTACTTGATTTTTAGGTAACATCCAAGGCAAATGTTGACAGCAACTTGTGCAGAACTGTAAAGAGATAAGACAAAAAAGAAAACACACATAAGACAGACAGCTTGACAGCCACACTGGAACAGCCAGATTTCCTTGCCAACGTTACACTGTGGTAAGGGCAGGTGAGACCTTTCAGCCCTCTGAGCAAGCAAAGAGGCTGCACCAATACTAAAACCTGCAAGGCAGCCAAAAAGCCGAATTACGTTTTCCATCCTGCTTGCGACTCGGAGTAAATGCCATCACCCCGTTGAAGAGGGCAATTATTTTATCTGCTTGAGCAGGCATTTTGTGAAAACGAAGGTGGAAACGCAATGTTTGCCAGCGGCGACGATGGTCAGCGAACCCCTCCAGAAGACGGGGCTTCGTGAGCCGCGGGCAGTGACCCTGCTCTCACCTGCTGCCCGGGCATGGCTTGATGAGCGCAGATTTCCTCAGCTCTCCACACACACACACACAGACACTTTTTCCTCTGTGACGAACAAGCCCAGACCAGCGATGGCAGCCCGGCGTGCCGGGCTCCGGGCCAGGGCGGCTCTGCCCCAACATGGCATCGCTGCCGCTCGGGGCGGCCCCGGGCTCGTCCCTCAGCGAGGGATCCGCTCGCAGCCGAGGCCCCGGCGCTGAGGGGCGGGAGGCAGCGGGCCGGGTGACGGGAGTCCCCGGCGGGACCAGCCGGAGCTCGGCCGGCTCGGAATGGCGCCTTCCCGCCCCCTCCCCCGGACGGGCTCCCCGCCGGCCCCGGCAAGTCGCCCCCTGCCCCTTTGGGAGCCGCGGCTCCTTCCCTCCCAGACCGCTCCCGTGAGGGGGCTCCGCCCTGGGCATCGCCCCGTCCTTCCCGGGAAAGCCCTCGCCCCGCTGGCACCGTCCGTCCCGCCCGTCCCTCGCCCGCGGTGCCGGGAGGCATCACCGCCCCTCGCCGTGTGCCGCTCCCCCCGGGACGAGCCCCTGCCGCGCTCCACGCTCGGTGCTCGGGAGTGCCGAGTCACTCCTGCGGGAGGCTCAGAGCAGCCGAGGTCCGAGGAGAGGGACAGGAGCCCGGCTGGTGGCATCCCGTGCACCCCGTCCAGGCGCCGCGACCCGGGGGACGGCGGGGGCAGCGCTGCTGGGACCGGGACCGGGACTGGGACTGGGACCGGGACTGGGACCGGCTGCGGGGTACGGCGGGCCGAGCGCCCCCGGGGAGGGCCGGGCAGCAGCGCGCCTGGATCCCCGCCCGCCGCCGAGTGGGAACGGGCGGGGAAAAGATCCTCCCGTGCGCGCTCCGTCCCTCCCTCCCTGCCTCCGTCCCCGCGCACTCTCTCAGCCACACACACGCTGACACGCTCACACCCCTTCTCCCGCCGCCTGCGGCCGGGGGGCACTTTTGAAAGCCGCTCTGGTTCCACACCCAGCCGCCGCTGACATCATTCCCGCAGGGAGGGCGGGCGGAGGCACCGCCGCCAGACGGTCGCAGCCCGCGGAGAGCTGCCCCCGGCCCGCGCCCGTGAGTACCGCGGGGTGCGGGGGGAGCGGGGCGCGCCGTGGGGAGCGGGGAGGGAGAAACCGCGGAAAAAGGGGGAAAAAAAAAATAAAAATCACGGGTTTGTTTACTGCGAAACGCATTTTATTTCGGTGCCCCGCCGTCGCTGGGCCGGGCGGGGAGAGCGGCCCCGCCGTCGCGGAGCTCCGGCCCCGCTGCCTCGCCCCGGGCCGGGCCGAGGGGCTCCTTGCCAGGCACTCCGGGCCGGGCCAAGCCGGCGGAAAGTTCGCGCTCTCCGCGGGATGGTTGCTTTGCTTTCTGTTCTCTCCTGTAGTGAACTCTCGCCGGAGTTCGCGTGTGCTGCAGGAACGTGTGGCCGCTCTTGGCAGCTGCTCCCCCTCTCCCCCCGGTGGAAGGAAAATACACTTAGATGTAATTCAGCGCAGATTTTTATGAAGTTTTTGCCAGCGTTAAACCTTTTTCCGCTTGAGTCAAACTGCAGTTTCACTCGCTGGTGGTTTCTGTCTGTATTTAATGTCCCACTTACACTGGGGAGGTTGTGTGTCAGATACCAGACAGGCAGCTCTCGGTGACATGGGTTGCCTGCAATATTGAGTATTGAATTTGAGAGGTCAGCTCCTTGTTTGGACATTTCTAGGAAGAATAGAGCACTGCTGGCCTTTCCTTAGCAAACAGGGCTTGCTCCTGCTCACAGAATGCTGCCACCAAGGAACCTGCAGCTCAGTCTCTCTGTTAATTTCTTGGCAGAAGTCCTTTGTTCACATGGTGCAGGAAGATCCGTTTTTTTCCCAGCACCTGGGAATAGTATGTAAATGATAGGTAATTATTGTAGTTGAACATCTTAGAAGTATTTTCTGACTTGATACAGGGCTGTGAAGAAACCCACTGAGTAGCTCTAAAATATACACTGGATTTTCCTGGAGTTTTCTTTAGGAATTTTGAAAATAAACAGCTATGGTTGGCTAATCTCCATCAGAAAGAGAAAAAGTAGAACTTTCTCTTCACTTACTTTCAGACTCTGTACATACAATGCTGGTGTGTTAACTATGTAAAATAAGCCTTCTTGCCTGCCTGAGCAGATGTTTTTTCTGTCAAATAAAAGTAGTCTGTTATGACTCCTTCATTCAGACCTGCTCTAGGATGTTGATTTTGAAGGCTTTGCTGTCCAGGCAGGGTAAGGTAGCTCAGGAAGGAGTGATGTGGCTGGACTGCCAGGGCTGAGATGCCAGATGTCTGCAGACGCAAATGGTAGGGGACTGCTGGGCATGAGTTTCACTGAGGGAAGAAACATGAATTGCAGTTTGCTGGAGAGTCCTGCTATTTTTTTGTGAGTGTGTGACAAAAGCTGTTGTAGGGAATGCAGGTGGGGTGCAGGTACTTACCATAGCTGGTGACATCAAAGTGGGAGTTGAAACAAAGATATATGGAAAACATGGTCACCAGAAGCTGATATGAGTTTATTCAGGATAAGATGTAAGGATTTGACCTTTGTTTCAAAGACATTGAAAGAAAGAACTCTTGTTGTTCTCTGAATCCCTTTGTGAGCTTGCAGAGTTGAGTTAGGAAATACTGTTGGGATACCTGAGGGAAGACTCATCCTCCATGCTGAATAAAGATGTGCACAGATTGTGTCATGCCAGCTGTGTGGCTGACATGGATGTTACCAGGTCAGCTGTCTGCCCAGCCAGGAATCCAGGAATTACGCTGCCAATAGCCATCAACATTAACTGAGATGAAATGGAGCAATACCATGAAAACTCTTAGGAGGTGATCACTTTCTTGTAAGTATGTTCACTGGGGAAGGAAAATAGTCTGTTAATGTAATTCAAAATAAAAACAACGTACAATCGGTAGACAAGACACTACTGGTGTTGTATTCTTTATTTGTGGTCTGGAAAGACTTCTGTCGTAAGCACACAAACAGTGTTGATTATGCTGTGGATTTGCCAGTGAGGGAAAACAGAGAATTCTGTTTGCTTACACAGATTTAAAACATTGCTAATAAAGGAAGTTGTTCAACAGACTGAGCAGGTCAAGACTGAAGGCTGCTGCAACATCATTCTCTTAGACAAGAGTTCTGTCTCAGTTCTTAGATGCTGTAGTTATTGTTGCTGGCCAACAGTGCTTAGAAGAAATTAAGATCTCCATCTTATACCCACTTTCAGTTAATGCACTCAACTCCTCTTGCTTTTAGTAGCATCTCTTGCTCCACAGTTGCCTTGTGTCTTTCTCTTATTTTGTTGTCTTGTTTGTCTCAAGGTTGTTTCCCATCTTGGGTTTGACATTCCTGCAGTGATTGGAAGAAGAATGTTGTGCTCATTAATCTCATGTGGATATTTAGAGAAGCAAGACTTTCCTCCACTTTTGCTAAGTATACTAGTTGTATTTTGTCTCCTTTCATGATGCTGTTTCCCTGTCCATTTAAAAATTAGATGGATGACAGCACAAGGAGACTCTTCCTTTTCACCTCAGTGGCTTGAGTATATTTTGATTTTCCACTGGCACTTCATGTTCTATTTGTGTCTTGAGCATCATGTAAGACATGACACCACCACATAAATCAGTACAAGAATGTGTTTAATTAAAGAGATAAATAGGTCTCTGGGGACAAGATCTTTTATATTGCTAGCTGGCAGATGTACTTTCCAGGTCCTCCTCCATGTTCCTGTTGGAAGAAGACCCAGCAGAATGAGGCACTGTGATACACAGGAACCAATAAGAAAGAGATTTACTCTGAAGTGAAGCAAACATTTTATGCAAAATCCATGCAATACTTCAGCACAGCCAAATTTGAAAGTAGAAAGGAATGCACAGCTTTTATTGAAATCACGTTGGTCTCAGAGGGAATGCAGGGGAAACATAAGCACAACACTAAGGAATTCCATTCATGGAGCTGTTTGTTAAGGTCTGTTTAGTTTTTGGATCCTCAAAGCAAACCAGTGATCTTTGCAGTGGAGTTTCAGTCTTGGCTGTTTTTGTTGAAAGCTATGCTATTTTAAAGAGAAGATAATATTGTAAAATATATCAAAATGTCAGGTGATGCTCATGACTTCATTAGGAAGATAAGTATCTTAATTCTTAGAAAATAAATCTTGCTGGGTGGGATTCAAGAGAAAGCCTGATGTCCTGAATTCATCCATCAAAGGAATTATTATTTCTTCACTGAATGGGGAAAATGTAATTACACCTTTTTATTTTGCCGATGAAGTTTCATGGGCAGGTTTAATGATGGTATGTGCATGCCAGGTGAAGCCTCATAATTTGGGTGTGACCTTAAAATACAACCCTCTGGCTGTGAAGAGATCTTCACAGGAGTCTGTAGGTGGGGCAGAAAGTGGCCTGACTCAAATACCCCTTAGAGATGGCTATAGGATATATATTTATGGTTTACTGCACTGATTCTTAAACGCTACTCTGTGTTTGGAACTGCACAGGCCTCAAACAGCCAAGGTGGGCAGTATGAACACTCCCTCGGGTGTTTGATGCAGGTGTTACGTGTCCTGAAATACATCAAAATTCAGGTCTTCTTCCATACAGAAAGTGGCCTTCCAAAGTCTCTGGATGTCTCTGCTGAGGTGCACGTGTTGATGGTGGTCTCTGTGGACTCACCTGCTCTCTAGGGCTGGCACTGCTCAATCCACAGAAACAACAAACCAGCTGCTTAGTTCAAATGCAGAAACAACCCCAAGTCTGTGAGAGGAGTCTGATGTGGAGCTGTGGGGAGCTGGCTGAGCCTGCCCGTCTGTCACGTGCCAGAGGGCTTGATGTGCCTTTACCTGGTGCTGTGACTGGTATGAAATGTGGCTCTGCAGGGACCCAGGTGGAGCCACAGGGCAGAGCAGAGCTGAGCTGGGGCAGGCGGAGGGGACTGGGCTGTTCCCATAGAGCACCAGAGTGTAGAAGAGCTGTGCAGCGAGTGTGCTCAAACAAGGGTTAGAAATCCTTCTACTTGGAGTTGTAAAGTTCACATAGGAACCTTAAAGTTTTACTTTAATTGCACCCATTGCAAATTAAAATGTAAAAATGGCATTCTGGAGGTGGGCTGGGTATTCAATCATATGCTACAGTGTTGCTGTGAAACAAAGTAGTAGTAGTTGTGGAAGAGTTTGCTCTATTTTATAGCCAACTGTTGTACCATCAGTAGAAATGTACTTTCACACTCTTGATAGATGACGTGTAAACTCTGAAATAACTAAAACCAAAATTTCTCAATACAGAGCTAGTCAAAGCCAAATCAAAACAAGCAGTTTGAAAATTTTACAACAGCGAATGCAACACATTTAATTGCGAGCAATTTCCACAGAGCATCTGCCAAAGTTAAAACAATATCAGCTTTCATTTCTACAGAATTAAATGCATTGCTTTCAATCTGGAAAGACAGACCTTTTCTGCCTTTGTTTGTTGGTTAATTAGGTGGAACAGCATAAATCACTCGAGCTGTTCTGTTGTATCTGGAATAATCTCTGGATAAGCAGCAGTCTGTAGTGAGTAGACTCCGGGGTCTGAAATTTGCTCTCAGAACTGTGTTAACGTGTAGTCAGTGCTGCAGGTGTGCTTTTATTTTTCTTTCTTTTCGTTGACTAAGACTGAGGATACATTTAATCTGTCAACCTGTAGAAGGTCTGGTGTTATTCTTGGTCTGTCACTCCCTGCCCTGCCAAGGTATTGAACAGGGACAACCACGACACTGAAATGTGGCCACGCAGTGATTGAGCAGGGGTGAGGCCAGGCCACACCTCACTTCAGCTATCTGCTTCAGAAGCAGGTTCCCAGGAGGCTCCTCATAGCTCGAATAGCTTATCAGTGCAGCCCCAGGTCTTTGTCCAGCTCCATGGAAGGGCTGATTCCCTGAGCCAGAGGCAGGGCTGTGCCAGCAGGCTGCAAAGAGCTCTGTGGTTCCTGACCACTGCCCTTGAGTGTTGGGAGGCAACAGTAGCCCTTAGGTCACCCTCAGACAAGGGGGAGAGGCCTCGCTGTCTCTTTGAAGCTTTGCCACCCACCTG